CTTACCGTCTCTGTCAATCGGAATATTCTAGGCAGTTCATATTCATGGAATCACACGGTATGTGTCTTTTTGTGTGAATCAACATTTGATCCCTAGATGGAATTCAAGTCATAAGCTCGGTTACCTCATTGGTTCAGACAGGTTTACTGTGTCTCTGTTACCTTTATTTTCTATCAGAAAAACTGCCATGAACATCTGAGATATCTTGGTTTAACCCATATGCTATTTTCATTTCAAATGGGCAGCTTTTTTTAAAAAAAAAAAGTTTTTATCGCTATGGACAATTGTAAACACTGTCAGAGAAAGGAAAGGCTCAGCTAGTTTCCATGGCAACCTGATGTCAGAAACCTAATTCAAAACCCTTGAGACTTATTTTCAGCAACTTTTTAAAGGGCTGGGCAAGTTGATGCAGGTTAGTAATAGCATTTCCAAGTTCTTCTTGCTGTTCTTATTTATTCATTAATTAGTTAACTATTGAGTACATAACTCTGGGTCAGTTCTGTGCCAAGGATAGGGAAATAAAATGAAGGCAAGACAGATGTAGTGCTGAGCTGAAGTTTGCTTATTATGTTGTTGATCTTGTTTATTTGCATTTCTTAGACAGGGTTTTCTGATCCTGCCTCAGCTTCCTAAGTAGCTAGGACTACAGGCATACACCACCATTGCCCGGGTTTTATATTGGGCTGGGAATCAAACTCGGGCCTCCTGTGTGGCCTCAGCCTAATGAGTAGCAGGGTCTACCTGTGCATACCACCACAGCTGGCCCCAAGTTTGATCATTGAAGAACTGTTGTAGATCCCTGAGAGAAACTTTCACTGATGACACTAGGACACAGACAGTGCTGGGGAGGAGCTGGGGGCTATACTTTGGGACAAACTGAAGATGACCATGCAGATTGTTTTACCCAAGAAGGAGACCACAGTTCCACCCAGAATTTTTAAACTGTCTACTTCTAAGCCACTGTATTTTTCTGATTACAACCTGGGACTTGTTTTTGCACTTTAAAAAAGCTTGAATCCATATCCAGCAATCTCAACTCTGGGTACTTACCTGAAGGGTTTGAAGTCAACGTGATAAGGAGCTACCTGCACTTGTGTTCATTGCAGCACCATTCACAATAGCCAAGTTATGGAATCAACATAAGTATTAGATGAGTGGGTATAATGACTGATGGTTGTCAGGAAAGTCATGACGTATTTTCCTATGCAAAAATGTGTCATGACTTCTCAGACAACCCAATATATACACACACGGGAGTACTACTCAGCCATAATAATGAAGGAAATTCTGTTATTTGCAACAATGTAGATGGAATTGAAGAACATTATGCTAAGTGAAATAAGTTAGGCACAGAAATACAAATACTGCAAGTTCTCACTTATATGTGGACTCTGAAACAATCAAACTCATAGAAGCAGAAAGTAGCATGGTGGATTCAAAGGCTTGAGGGTAAAGAGAATGGGGAGAGGGGCCAGTAGATGGTGTAATGGTTATGTTCCTGGACTCCTATGTGGTCAACTGTGGTTTGAGTCCTGGACCCAGTGTCTTAAAACTCACCCTGGTGTGTGTGCATGTGTGCCCAAGATCCTGGGACAATGAAAGAAAAGGGATTGTGGTATGGCCATCCTCCCGGGAGGTGATTTCTTGCTTTCTGTATCTCTATATCTCCAGTGAACACATACACCTTATAAGAAAAATCTCTCTTAAAAAATAGAGAGAGAGAAAGCGAATGGCAAACTATCAATCAAAGGGTACAAAAGTTCAGACAGGAAGAATATATTTCTATTAATTTTTTTTAGTTCTATTGCACAAGGTGGTGAATACAGTTAATAAAAGGGTATTGTACATTTCAAAATCACTAAGAAAAATTTCAAATGCTCTCATCAGGAAAAAGTATTCTTTTTTTTTTTTTTTTGAGAGGTTTTCGCTATAGGCCGCATGAGCTAGCCAGACAGAGAGAAACAGAGAGACAGAAAGCAAGAAATTACCCCCCAGGGGGGATGGTCACGCCGCAATCCCTTCTCCTCCATTCTCCTCTTGGGATCTTGGGCACGCACGCAAACGCACCCGGCATGAGTTTTAAGCCACCGGGTCTGGGACGCAAACCGCGGTCGACTACGTGGGAGTCTAGCGACATAGCCATTATACTAACTGCTGGTTCCCAGGAAAAAGTTCGTATTCTAGAAACCAGTAGGTGGCATGATGGTTAAGGCACTGGACACTCCCACATGGCTGACCATGGTTCAAGTCGTGGACCTGGTGGCTTGCCTTTCCCTCTCTCTCTCTTTCTCTCTCTGTGTCTCTCTCTGGTCAATTTTTTTTAAAAAATGAATAAATAAATAAAATGAAATAAATAGCTCCTTTTAAAAAATGTTAGTATTCTTTCCAGCAGTGAGGACCACCCCACAAGAACATGCCTCTCGCAAAGGACCTCCTTCATCCCTCTCCGGAAGAGGAGAAGAAGAAACGCAAGAAGCAGCACCTGGTGCAGAGCCCAGATTCCTACTTCATGGATGTGAAGTGCCCAGGATGCTGTAAAATCACCAGTCTTTAGCCATGCACAAACGGTAGTTCTGTGCGCTGGCTGCTCCACTGTCCTCTGCCAGCCTACAGGAGGAAACGCAAGGCTTACAGAAGGATGTTCCTTCAGGAGGAAGCAGCACTAAAAGAGCCTGACTCAAGACGAGTGGAAAACCATCCCAATAAACACATTTTGGATAAAAAAATAATAATAATAAAATAAAAAGGTTAGTATTTGAGGTGATGGATATGTTAACTAGCTTGATTTAATTATTCCATATTATATTCATAAATCATAAAATTATCTTGAGTCTATAATGTATATTATTATAAATGATCAATTTTACCATTTTTTTAAAAGAGAGATTTTTACTACAGGGCATATGAGCTGGCTGGAGAGACAGGGAAAGACAGACAGAAAGTGAGAAATCACCCTCCAGGGGGATGACCGCACCATAATCCCTTCTCCTCCATTTTCCTGGGATTTCAGATGTGCATGCACACGTGCCCAGCATGAGTTTTAAGCTCCCAGGTCTGGGAATTGAACCTCAGTAGACCATGTGGGAGTCCAGCAACATAACCATTATGCCATCTGCTGGTCCAATATTACCATTCATTTTCAAAAGTTAAAAATTAAATCCAGCCTTGGGGCCAGCATGCGGCATGGTGGTTAAGGGCACTGGACTCCCACACGGCTGACTTCAGTTCAAGTCCCAGACCTGGCGACTTGCTTTCTCACTTTCCATCTCTCTCTCTCTCTCTCTCTCTCATTCTGCCCCTCTCTGGTCAAATTAAAATAAACAAAGTTAAATAAAACAATGCTTTTTCAAAAGTTAAATCCAGTCTTGAAAAATAAAGACATTTTGTCATATGCTACAATATGCATGAACTTTGAGGACATTATGCTAAGTGAAATCAGCCAGTCACAAAAGGACAAATATCATATGACTCTCCTTGCATGAGGTACCTAAGAGTCAAACTCTCAGAAACAGAAAGTAGAAGGGTAATTATCAGGGGCTGGGGAGAAGGGAAGGGGAGCCATGGTTCAGTGGGTATCGTTTCAGTTTTGCCAGAGGAAAAAGCTACGGAGATCTGTTCAGCGGTAGTGTGCACGTAACGAACCCTATTGTACTGGATGTACATTTCGGATGGTTATGATGGTGCGTCGCATGCATCTAAAACAACAATAATAATAAGTCTAGCACAGCACTGGCCATTACATGTAGGGACTCAATGTATGCTTGCTGAAAGTAAAACAAAACAAAACCAAAAATCATGAGCTCCCAAGTCCCAGCCTCATCATAGTTTTTCTGCAAATATTAGTTTTCGGGTTGAGAATAATTATTTGCTTTCCTCCTTTCTGTCTTTTTCTTTTTCTTTTTCTTTTTTTTTTTAATGATAGAGAACACACATGTGAGAAAGAGGAGCACCCTCAACTGTCTTGTCATGCCTGTCCCCAGCCCTCTAGTTCCTTGGGATCTTGGGCACACATGTGTGTTCAGCTTATTTTCGGCCATTGCCTCCTCCTCACCAGGCCTCTAATATCTCTTCCACACTTCACCAACAAGGTTTGTTTGCAAACTCGAAACCTTAGTTAAGGTTCGTTGAGGTTTGTTGTTCAAAATTGGCTGATCCCACACATATTCTCTTGAGATATAAATAGAAAAAAGGAGGTTAAATTAGTAAGGTAAGACATTTGAGCTACATCTACTTGATCCTCAAAAAGGAAATCTAAGAGGTTGTAACTATCACTTTTTCAGTCCTATATAAGGTAGGTCAGTGAGGTAGCAAGAGCGCTTTTGTCTTGTGCTCCTTCAGGTCTTTTCCTTATTCTCCTTTGGGGAAAATCCAGAACGGTGAGTAGCTGGTGAGCCTACCAGATCCCAGGCTCTTCTTCCTACATGCAATCATCCTAGGCTTGTACATGCTGTACTCAGATTTCTTTTTTCTTTGGGCTTTGATACCCGGCAGGATTTTGATCTCTGGTAAATGGACATTTCACTCATCTGATTCTCACCTTTTGGGGCAGATAGCAGGCTTATCTTCCACAGAAGTTCTGCAAGTATCCTGTCCCATGTGGAATGTTCAACATTGCATTTCTCTGGCTGGGATATGAAAATGCTATTGCGTTTACATGGTTTACTTTGAATGGTCTGTAACTACCTATGTAACTGATCCACTATGTAAATGTAATGTGTATAAGAAAATTGAGTCAAATAGTTCTTTAGGTGAAAATTTTCATTTCATTTTGGAGTCGATTCAGAAGAGAGCACTCAGACAAAGGGAGCTGGATCTTTTCAGGATCTGGTTTTTGATAGGGTGTTCTGTCCCATTGCTCAAGACAACACTGTGCTTATCAAATTAAAACAATTCTACACAGGTCCAGTAGACCTTGAAAGTGTGTTCCCCCCTACTCCCCATGGGCTTGTTCCTGCCTGTCACTTACCATACCTCATTTATTCCATGGGACTAGGTGGAAAATGAGCATCACGGATGTGCTTAGTGCTGATGACATTGCAGCGGCCCTGCAGGCATGCAGGTAAAGGGGACAGTGAGGCGAGGGTGGGTTTTCTTCACATAATTGCACCTCCAGTGAGGCATCAAAAGTCAAAATGTAAACTTTGCTGGAAATTGTATGAATTCAGAAAAAAAAAAAACAGCTATTAGTTAGACAACTAAAATTATAGGGGTCCTGGTGGTGGTGCAGTGGTTGCACAGCTGGACCCACATGCGGAAGGTTCTGAGTTTATATCTTGCATCCTCCTGGAACACAACAGGTGTGCGTGTGCATGCCTATGCTCAGGGCTGACTGAGGCTGTGGTGGATTGTGGCATGAAATCCTGTTGGAAGTGTCTGTCTCTTTGTCTGTCTGCACCACCCCCCATGGAAGAAATATAATTAATAATTAATTAATTTTTTAAATTACATGGATATGGGATGTGAGCCTGTCATTATGTTTCTGTAAGATGAAACTTACTAGAACTAGGGGGAGAAAAGAATCAATGGAAACCAGTTAGCCTATTTGAACCTAGTTATTGTATTTTTTTCCCACCAATTTGACCAGTGATACTGGAGACTTCAAGACACAGACTGTGAGGAGGGCATGGGGAAAAGGGAGGCACAGAGGAGAGGAGGGGGAAGAGGGGGAAATGGATAAAATGGATCAATCAAGAGAGAGAAAGCTGGGGAAGAGGAGCAGAAGATGATGTCACAGAACCACGCAGTCCTGGCTATCCCAAAACTGTGGTCCAGTCAAGCATTCCTGTAGCTCAGGGGTATGATGAAAGTATTTTTAATAACCTTCATGTTTAGTTCGTTGGCCTAAATACAGAACTGTGATCCAATAAGCATGAGAATAATCTGTTCTCTGTTTTTTTCAGACCCAGATACTTTTGAACCCCAAAAATTCTTCCAGACATCAGGCCTCTCCAAGATGTCAGCCAGTCAGGTGAAGGATGTTTTCCGGTTCATAGACAATGACCAGAGTGGATACCTGGATGAAGAAGAGCTTAAGTAAGCTTTGTCCTTGGGACCAGCAGTTAGCGTAATGGCTATGTCGCTAGACTCCCATGTAGCCGACCACGGTTTGAGTCCTGGACCCATTGGCTTAAACTCACGTGGGGTGCATGTGCGCGCATGCCCAAGATCTCGAGAGGAGAATGGAGAAGGGATTGCGGTGTGGCCACCCCCCGGGGGTTGATTTCTCACTTTCTGTCTCTCTGTCTCTCTCTGTCTGTCTGGTGAGTGCAGGCGTCCTATAGCAAAAACCTCTCAAAAAAAAAAAAAAAAAGTAAGCTTTGTCCTGAGTTTGTCTGGCACCCTGATATTGCTGGGTGGGGCTGGGGTGCAGGGGAGTCCAGTTTGCTCAGTATTTCTTCAATGACCAGCCTTGTTGCTGGCAGAGCTTCATTAAAGCAAAAAATGAGACCAGCCTTGTGTTTAAGGGGGCTGAATCCCACATGGCTGAATGCAGTTCAAATTTCAATCCAGAAGCATGAAAAACACACCAGGTGTGTGTGCATGCATGCTTGAAGTCCCAGCAGGATGGAGAAATGGAGGAAAAGAGATTGCAGAATGAGCACTCTCCATTGGGGAGTGCTTTCTTCTCTCCCTTTCCCTCTCCCTCTCTGACTCTCTGGTGAGTGCACACATTCTCTGGCAATTTTTAAAAAGGGGACAGCAAGTGGCATGGTGGTTTAGGTGCTGGACTATAGCAATTGGACTATGCAAGCCCCGGACTTTGTGGCTTGCTTTTTCACTTTCCCTCTCTCTCTCTCTCTGGTATGTACACATGTCCTATAGCAAATCAAAAAATAGTGATAATGATAAATAAAATAAAATAAATCATTCTTTTAAAAAAAAGAACATGAATGAGTTGGTCACACACCTAATCATGCAAATCTCTAAACAGGGGCACTAAGGACTGTAGGTGCAAAGATGGTTAGTTTAAGAGATTTTCTTTGACAGATAGACTTAATGAAACTCTTTAAAACTGCTTAAAAATAAAATATTCATCATTGATTTCTATAACAAAGGAAATCTTTGCTTGTTAAAACCTTGACTAATTATTAAATCCTTTTTTAAAATTATTCTCCTATAGGGTACATGCACTCACCACAGAGAGGCAGAGAGAGAGAAGAAAAGTGAGAAATCACCCATTGGGGGGATGGCCATGCTTCAGTCCCTTCTCCTCTAGTCCCCTCTCAGGATTTTGGGCATTCTCTGCTTAGGATTTGAGGCATGCATGCACATATGCCTGGCATATTTTTCTTTCTTCTTAATTATTTATTTAATTTTATTTGTTATTGTTATTTTTTAATCTGACCAGAGAGAGAGAAAAAGAAAATGAGAAAGCAAGCCAGCAGATCCAAGACTCAAACCATGGTAAACCATGTGGAAGTCCAGCACCTTAAACACCACGCCACATCCCAACCCCCTGGTGTGTTTTTCAAGTCACTGGGTCCAGGACTAGAACTGTGCAGTCAGCCATGTGGGATCCCATTACCTTAACCACCATGCTACAGTCTGGCCCCCTTGTTTGATTATTATAACTGCTGGATACAGATGCTTTGCACAAAGAAAGGAAGGAAAGAAGGAGGGAGAGAGGGAAGGATAGGTAGAAAGAAAAAGAGAGAGAGAGAGGGAGAAGAAAAGAAAGAAAAAGCAAAGAGGAGGGAGGAAGGAGAGGAAGGGCGAACACAGAGATGTATGGGCTTTTAGAAAACTCCCATCTTTCTTATCATGTAGGTTTTTCCTCCAGAAGTTTGAGAGTGGTGCTAGAGAACTGACTGAGTCAGAAACCAAGTCTTTGATGGCTGCTGCAGATAATGATGGAGATGGAAAAATTGGGGCTGATGGTAAGACCGTATTTGTACATAGCACATAACCCTTCAACTTAGGCAGCATCCATGGGAGCTTGGGTCATGAGATCGGAGAGATGTGGGTTTAAGTCCTCCCCCCACCCCCGCTTTAACCTTGCTGTGCCTGTCTTCTCATCTATGAAATAGTACTAAAGTGAGGATGCAAATGTTGCATGAAAGACTCTGGCATGATGCCTGAGATATACCATAAAGTGGGCCCCACTGGTTATTGTCTCTGAACTGGGAAACGTCCTTCATCAGACTAGGACACTAGCTAGCTGTCTGGTCAATTATTTGCATGCTGCTCTATTGTACCTTGAAAATCATGCAAGGAATTTTCGCCAGTGGGATTTGAGCCCCTCTGAACAAGGGAAGGATTGGCATTCTCCAGTGTGTCTCATACTAAGAATCTATTGGCTTGCATAGGAAAACCTCCTGCTCTCAAGAGTTTAAACGAGTGTATTTTATTGGATTAGCCCAGCAAGTGGACATGGTTAGACAGAGAAAAAATAAGTCAGTCACCATGTATGAAGTCGTCTATGTGCAGAGCCCTAAATTCAAATTTTAGCATAATAGCACAGCTGTAGAATTATTTTCACTTGATTTTGTCATGCAGCTTACATGCTCTTTAGCTACTTTGTGCTTGCCAACTCAGGAGAGCATATGGAGGTCCTTCTGGTGGTGCTAATTTGAAAATTTTAAAATGCCACCTTAGATCCTTATTTTTAAAACCTGCTCAAAATTACACCACCATCCCTTACTACATGGGAGTTAATGCAGCTTCTATAGCTTCTATAGATAGCTCAGAGAAACAGTTTAGGCAAGGGAGGATTGATTGATTTAAACATAACCGCAAAAGATTTTCAAATAGACAAAGTTAAATGAATGTAAAGCAAGTCCCCAGCTTTTATTTCAGTCTGTAGTAGCCACACATCATTCTTCTTCTCCTGGGTTGGCCCCATAGCACAGTGGTGAAGGAAGTCAGATCCCATATGGCTGACTAAAATTCGAATCCAGGCTCCAGCAGGTTGAAAAACACAGAGGGGGCCAGCAGATGACATAGTGGTAGCATCACTCCACTCCCACATGGCTGACCACCGTTTAAGTTGTGGACCTGGTGGCCTGAGACTCATGCCAGGCACATATGCATGCATGCTCACGATCCCAGGAAGACAATGGAGGAGAAAGAACTGTGGTGTGGCCATCCCTCCAGGGTGTGATTTCTCACTTTCCCTCTCACTTTCTCTGTCTCTTTCTCTCTCTGGTGACTACACACACCCTAAGGCAAAAACCTCTAAAAGAAAAGAAAAAGAAAAATATATACACTGGGCACATGTGTATGCATGCCCCAAATCCCTGTGGGATGGAGAAATAGAACAGGGGATGCAGTGTGACCACGCCCCATGGGGGAGCAATGCCTTCTCTCCCCACCTCAAGAGCATGTGTCTTCCGTCAATAAAAAAGTATATGCTATCATCCTTCTTTCAATAATATAAACTTTTGGGTGGGGAGAGGTAGGGTTGGCACCAATTGAGGAAAGTTAATTCAAAGTCCCACCCTATTTAATGCAGAAGGAATGCATTTAGGAATGCAATTTCCTTTTCGTTTTTAAGAGAGGTTTTTTTTTGTTTGTTTGTTTGTTTTGTTTTTTTTTTTTTGCTATACAGTGCACGCACTTGTTAGAGAGACAGAGATAAAAAGACAGGAAACAAGAAATCACCCCCCCCAAGGGAATGGCCACACTGCAATCCCTTCTCCTCCATTCTCCTCCCCAGGTCTTGGGCACCCAAGCACACGCACCTGGCATGACTTTTAAACCTCTGGGTCGGGGACTCCAACCATGGGCAACTATGTGGGAGTCCAGCAACATAACCATTATGCCATCTGCTGGTCCCCTCATTCTTTCTTAAATTGACTGGAGAAGGGGCCAGTAGGTGGTGTAGCATTTAAGCACTGGACTCCCACATGATTGACTACAGTTCAAGTCCCAGACCCAGGGGCTTAACAATCATGCCTGGTCTGTGAGTGTTTGTGCTCAAAATCCTAAGAGAATGGAGGAGAAGGGATTGTGGCATGGCCTTATCCCCTGAGAGATGATCTCTCACTGTCTCTGTCTGGTGAGCATACATGCCCTATAGCAAAAACCTAAAAATAAATAAATAAGTAGACTGGAGAAAAGTTAAATGTTCACAGATTGTGACAGGTCATGATACTGAATTTGTTCCTCACCAGAGAGAAATGACTGGGTTGGCAAGTTCTAACACAAGGGGTTTTATTGCAAAGCTGAAGATCTTTGTTGAGTAAGATTCTCTGAAGAGAAAGAAACCATAAGTTCCCTTGACCTGGAGTCATTGACTCACATCTTTCTTCCTTTTGTGCCCTCCACAGGGGTGGGGTAGGGAGAGTCTCTGCCCATCCTCTGACCATTCGCTGTATTTCCCTCTTCAGAATTCTCACTGGTCACAGCATGTCCATAAAGTACTGAGCCATCTCCACTGACCCTGTCCTCATGTCTTCTGTTTTAGAATTCCAAGAAATGGTTCATTCTTAAAGCCCCAGACTATGGAGAAAAGAAAGGAAGGGACAACCAGCTGGAAAGTCTTGAAAGCCCTGGGAATGGGAAACCCCACATCCTACCTTTAACTGATTTATTAATTCTGCCTGAAAAGCTTCTGCAGCTTGCTTGTTGTCTTAGTGAGGTACTAAGACTTCATGACTGCTTAGTGGTGGGTATGTCCTGATGACCTCTGTAGGGCCTTCTGCAAGCAATGCCTTTTAAAATCACCCAATAAAGACACGTTTCTCATCATCTACTGATGTGTGGGTGTGTTTCTTTCTCAGCAAGGTAGAGGGATGAAAGTGAGCTGGGGACCAAGGACTTTTTGAAGGATGTCTGCTCCCATCAAGAGCTGAGCAAGCTGTTGTGCATGAGCAATCAGAGAAACCAGGCTTTAAAAGTCATGTGGCATTGTCATGCTAGGATTTTTTCCTAGCAAATGTCTTGACGCTGAAATTAATATGAAGATATTTTATCCAGCATAAAATCATTCTTACAGATGTGTTTTCTGCTATTGGGTGTCAGATTGCCATAAGAGATTGAAGTGAGAGCAAACAGTACAAGACAGAACTAAGTGTGGGGCTGCAGTGGGCTGTAATGCTAAGGAGCCCTGCTGTTCTATTTTAGCACAAACAGACCGTTTTCAAATCTTTTCTCCCCTTAGAAAAAACAAGCTATTAGACTTGCCTGCTCTCGCCCAACCTCCTGGCGTACCCTTTCCACTTCTCAGTCACTGTTTTCCTGGCTCTTATGTGATACGCCTGGGCCTATTACACCTAGATTCGCCTGGGCCTATTACACCTAGAATCGCCTTAACATTTGAGGCTAGCCTCGGGGTCCTGTTACAGGGTTGTCATTAGGGTTGGGCAGTCTCAAGCCAGGAAATTCTCATTAGGCTGGCTTCCAGGTGGCACACTACATCTATTCTCTGGCTGACCCTGAGAATTGAGGACTCTGGGGAGTAATTGAGGTATTCTCCTGGGAGCTTGTTTAAACGCTCACACTTTTTACCCAAACACCTAAACTCACAATGCCCTGGGGCTCTCCCAGATTGCTTCCTGCATACTAGATAACTCAGTGACTTTTGGACCTCTATTTTCTAGAGAGTTATGTTAGAGGCAGTTTTTCAAAGTATGAAGGGAGCCTCAGGATACCTTTATAGGGACAAGGGTCAACATGTAAAATGTTGACAGCCAAGTATTTATGTTAATGTGCATTTGAAAAAAATAAAACTAGCATGCATGTGTGGTTTCAGTATCTTTGCTTAGCAAGAGGCTGAAGAAGTTTTGGGTTTTTGAAAGTGTATCAATTTGAAGAACATCAAGTGGTATTAGATATGGTATCTGGATGAACAAAAACCATAAAGGTAGTTTTCAACGACTCAAGATTGAGAAACACAGCTCTAAAACAAAGGATTCTTTGGGGGGGGGGTCAAAGAATGAAACTTTCTAATTTTGTGGCAGTCTCTTTTGTCCCCTCTCCTTGCACACATCTGTACTCCCATTCTCTAGCCACCGAACTGTGCCACATTCCTGGCAGGAATCAGACTAATTCCTTTCCACCACTAGCTTCCCTGGGTGTGTGAAAATGTCTTCCAGATGCATTTGTGAATACCTCAAAATGCAGACAGCAACAAGACCCCAGAGCCCTAATTCTTAAAGCAATCTTCATTTTGCCTTCACTGCCACACCATACACTGGTATTCTGATCTCTTATTTTCATTTGTCTCCATCAGCCCATCCAGTTAAGGATTCTTTGTCCCTAGAACAGTTTCTAAAAATGGGACACTAACTCAAAATGATCCTGTTTCACTTGTCGCGTGGGTCTTCTGGACACTATAAGCCTCAGAGAAACAATGTAGATGGTAATGCGTTTAAAATAACAGGTACAAGCTTTTAACTGACCAAGCTGTCTATCACTATTAGGACAGCAAAGACAACACAGGCTAATCTAGGATAAAATGATGAATTTCTCTCTCTTTTTTGTCAATCTAGAGGGCAACAGAATCAGAGTAATGGCTAGGGGCATCGTGTCGAGCACCGGGGCACTGTGTCATTGACCTTGCTAACATTCTGTCTTGGGGGAAAGGCTTAGATACATATGAAAGTTTGCCACAGACTTTCCATCAGTAGAGTTACGGTTGGTTTCATGAATTTTGCTCCTTCTCCTGTTTTAATGAACAAATTATGTTTGTCCATTCAAATACACTACTTTTTTTTTTTTTTTCCACCTGATCTTAGCAACTTCATCTCAGAGTCTCTGGAAATAGACAATAAGTAGCAATCAAAAGGAGTCATGTCGGTATTTAACACCCCAAAATGCCAGGTTGTATGCTTTAAATGAAATACGATAATCTTGTCTTTACTTGTACCAATTTTAATTACGTTGTTTAGATGGTAGGTGTGTTCTTGGTGAGTAATTCCATCCTCAATGCTTTGGGCATCTGAGCAAATTTGTTAATTGGCACTTTTTAACTTTTGTTATTTTTCTAAGTTTAAATTTTGAGAAACATTAGCATTTCCAAATCTTTGATGGTAAGTATAATTTGAGAACAAAAGGATTTTCAAAAATTACCTTAATGTCAGACACTTTACATGAATTTTGAACACAGTAATTCACTTTCAGATGGGTCCTATTTTGATGACAATGTGCATGGTAATTTATTTGACAGGGCTAACATACAAGATATTTATGCTAGGAAAATTCATTTTCAATGTTGTAAAGCTATAGAGTGTTTGAATGTAAAAAAAAAAGAAAAATTTTAAAAGATGAGTCCTATTTAATATGTATGTCATAGAATAAAAGATCAAAAGGATATGTATGGGAATTTCAAAAAATTCGTGGAAAACAGAATTAAAGAATTATTTTATTTTGTTGCAAGATTTTTTAAATTTATGCACAATTTTTTAGTAATATGCATTTTTCACAAACCTTTTAAAAAGGGCCAGCAAGTGGTGTGGTGGTTAAGGTGCTGGAATTCCCACATGGCCGACCACGGTTCCAGTCCCAGACCTGGCGGCTTCTCTCTCTCTCTCTCTTTCTCTCTCTGTCTTTCTCTGGCAAAACTCATGTGAAAATAATAATAATAATAATAATAAATAAAGCTACATAAATTTTTTAAAAAGTGCTTGTATAGCAAAACATTAACAGCAGTTATCTTCAGCTGAGAAGTTTACAAAATAATGAAATAGGACTGGAGTCTCTTTAAAAAGTGGAGCATAGGGGCCAGCAGGTGGCATGGCTGTTAAGGGTGCTGGACTCCCACATGGCTGACTACAGTTCATGTCCCGGACTTGGCAGCATGGTTTCTCACTTTCCCTTTTGCTCTCTCTCTCTGTCTCTCCCTGGTCAAATTTTTAAAAATAACAATAATAACAAATTAAATTAAATAAATAATTCTTTAAAAAACAAGTGGAGCATAGGAACCAGAGAAAATGAAGAGCTGAGCTTTAGCGTTTACCCAATCAATTACTGTCACTAAGCCGACATGGCAATACCTTCTGGTTTTTAAAAACATTTATGCCAGTGATATGGCACACACTCAGCTTAGTGAAAGCCCTGCAGACCATTCTGTTCCTTAAAGTTTGAGTCCATTTCTTTGGACTCATTTGTATTTTTACATAGTCAGGAAAATTTTTAAATAGAACATGCTCAGTATCAAATCAAAACTGGAAAAATTCTAAAGAAAATTATAACTATTCAAAAAAGGGATTGACAAGCCTATAAATTTCTTGCATGCTCGCCTTCTCTATTTTTATCTAATGTGCAGATGACCACCAACCTACCTCAAGAGCATGTGTTCAGCAAGTGGAATGATGTATTTTGAGTTTTAAATGAAGGCTTAGATTGCGACATAGTTTTCACAGCTGAAAAAACGGGCATCCTGTTATTTTTCCTAATTGCTTATAAAATAGGACCACAACAGTGGTTTCAATTTGGACTATTTTCACCTAATTATAATTTTGGCTTTTAGTTCAGTGGTTTATAATTTAATGAAATGTGATCTCAAAGCTAGTTTTGTGAATGTGCTTAATTGTTGAGATTAATAAGAAATATTAAAATAATTCAACCATTATCTAATATCAAGATACTGTACTGGCACATTGTGAAGTATTTGTAATATTTTTTTAGGTCATTCTTCCCAGTTCATAAACAAAGTGTAGCCGCACAGTGAAAGTGAGAAACATTCGTCCCGTTTGTTGAGTTTATAAGCGACACAGTTAATTCTGTGTAACAACTGCTGTTTAGTTTTGTGTAATGAGTACTCAGGAATCCAGTTTCAAGCAAAAACCTATCTTATATCACTTCTGCTAATGTTAAGGTATGGTATTACTTTGCAAACACTTAAGAAGACAGATGAAATTGGAATCACCAGGATAGTTTCCACCTGGTCTGTTAATTTATTCACTGGAAAGACTATTCATTTATATTATGTTCTCACTGGTTTATTTTTTTTTAAAGAATTATTTCATTTAACTTTATTAACTCATTATTTTAATTTGACCACGGGGTGGGGACAGAGCAAGAGAGCAAGCAAGAGAGAGAGGGAGGGAAAGTGAGAAAGTTAAGTCACCAGGTCCAGGACTCAAACCACGGTTGGCCATATAGGAGTCCAGTGCCCTTAACCACCATGCCACCTGCTGGCCCCTCTCACTGGTTTCTAAAAGTCAGCTTTTTTGGTAAATTATATTTTTGGTAGGGGGACAGATCTTAACATTGTTTTCCTAAGAGTTTAACAATGAATGTAATGGAGTCATAGCTTAACTTATTTTTAAATCATGAAGGAGTTCAAACATACAGATGATGGGCCAGCTCCATAGTTCATGGCCAACCAGGGTTCGAGTCTCAGCCCTTGCAACTTGAAAAGTACCATATGCCCAGGCCCAGGATATTGAGGGAATAGAGAACTGGAGAAAAAGGATTACAGCCTGACTGGCCCCATTGAAGGGTGCCTTTCTCTCTCTCTCTCTCTCTTTCTCTCTCTATTTCTCATG